CGCTTTAAAAAGAGTCGATCGATCGGATGGATGGATGAAATGTAATTAATGTTAATTAATGTGTATATCAAAAATTTAAATATCATTGTTTTCTATAATCTTTTTAGCGTTTTTGATGATTTTTAATTAAAACAATAGATCTTTCTTTTTTCAATATTTGATTGGTATATTAGCTTTAGATGACGATTAAACGATATAATGCATACACTCTTTTTTGATAATAAATATCAGACATTCTTTTTTTTTATAAATAATTAGACGATTATTTTCGATAAATCTCTTTTTTTTATTGGCACTAAGCCAGTGATGTCAGCCGGTAGAAAAACCTTGGTCGGTCAAACATATTACATTAAACAATATAATTAATTGTGAATCATAATTATTTAATCATTTCGTTTGAAAAAAAGTAAATAAGAAGCCCTCTTGCCATTGGATTATTTTTGTTTGAAAATTAATTTAATAAACATCTCTTCTTTTAATGTCTTCTCTTTTGTCTTGTGTATTGTGTGTAAGCGGCAAAATGTTTGTACGTGGCAGGAGGGTAGACGATGACAATTTCACTGAAATAAACTTTCGAAACAATTCAGAAAATATGATCCTTCAAGAGACTAAAGAAAATATGTTCATGTTCGATAGTTGAAGAATTCTTTAACATCGGATCGGAACTATTCTCAAGAAATTTTTTTTAATAATCTCATTTATTTTATAGGTTGTGTAAAATCCGTTTGGCTAGTTTAAACGTCTCGATAATTTCCATGCATTTTCAGCGCTCTTTTCATGTAATAAAACATGAACTGATTTTACCTTTCGTTGTTGAAATTGAAACCTTTTTGAAAACGTAAAGATTTCACTAAAAAATTGGTTTCATTAAATATTTGAAGGAATCTGTCGCAAAGAACAAAGAACAGGCAAAAAAAAAAATTTTAAACCAATCAAAATTGTCATTTAATTTCTATCTTTTTAAATAATATAAATACAACTTTTTGATTGGATAGCCTATTTAGCATAATATAATAATGAAATAAAAATTTTACAAATTAGGATGCCATACAATATATATATATATAAAATAATTTATTACGATTATTTTTTACAAATAATTATTCATCAAATGGATATTCAAAAGGCTCTGGTGGTGGTGCTTCTTCCTCCTCGGTAACCTCAGTAGCTTTAAAATAAAAAATATTAAATGATCAGCTAAATTATAATCAAAAACATCAATTAAAACTTTCGATTAGTAGGTTGTTTTCTTACCAGTAGGTGTGCTAGATAGAATGAATTCTTCTGGTTCGCCTTGTGTTTTATCCAACATCATTATAATACCTCCAACAATTCCCTTTATATTTTATAAATTAATGAAATAGAATTAAATACAAAAAAATAATCAACAAAAAACTGTTATTATTATTATATTCTTTCTACCTTTTTAACAGGAACATAGCGAGTATCTTCTTTAAATGATATATACTTCAATTGAGCAGGTAAAACACGTGCCATATTTTCAAGAATTTCATACGATTCTTCCTTTTTCTTTTTGCCTTTTTTGTCATCTTTTTGTTCGTCTTTTTGCTCATCTTTTTGCTCATCTTTTTGTTCATCCTTTTAAAATCAATAAAAAAAGAATAATATTATTATTAGATATTTAAAAATAACAATATAATAGAATCTAGTGATGGCAGTAGTATCAGTAGTTACCTTTTCTTCTTTTTTAACATTTTCAAGGGTATCTTTTTTCTCATCCTAAAGTCGTTGAAAAAATGTTATTATTAATTAATACATGTAATTAATACATGATAATTAAATAATAAATTAGTAAATACTGTTTCCATGGCATCAAAATCCGAATGTTCTTTTTCTTTTTCAGATTTTTTAGCTCTTGCTCTGGCTTTTGCGGTTGTAGAAAGAACTGCAGTTGCAACCTTAATAAGGATTTTTTTTAAATGGAAAATGGAAAGATTTGACAGTTAGATTATTTGCTTGTTTGTTTTGTTTGTTTGCTTGTTTTTTAGCTAATTAATAGTTTGTTGTTACCTTTTCTACAACATTGGTTGTTGGGGGTTTAATGGTGGCTGGATATGCAAATAGTGAAGGCTTGGCATTGGATATAAATTCAAATTTTGGAATCTAGTATTTTTTTTTCCAATCAAAAAAAAAAAATATTATTATATACTTGATCTACTTGTTATGATAGCAATGATGGATACATAGATGTTTGTATATAAAAATCATTTGTACCTTTAAATCTTTATTTAAACCAATAAGTGCAGTTGGAGTAAATGCAAGGCTCAAGAAATGAGTCAATGGGAACCAATACCAGAATTGAGTGAATACTGCCATTCCTACAATAGCTGGCATATTAGAATGTCCAGATCTTGATTGTAATGAAATTGTAACATTTCTACCACCTTTGCCAAAAAATAAATAATATATTTAAAAATATG